CTCTGGCTCCAGGGTAGCGCTGTTCTAGTAGAGCTCGTGAGAGAGCTTGCTATCTTTTGGCTCAATTCACTAAGCATTAAGCACCTCCTCCATGTGCCATCTTTGCTGGGTGGGGGAGGCCCTGTGACCCGTCCCCATGGGCCTGGGCAAAGGGTACAGTATGCCAGGCACTGAGCCCAACAACCTTTATGGGCACGGCTGAAGCAGCCCAGTTCTGACCACCTGGACTGAAACTTCAGGGACAGCTCACTGAATCCATGAATGAATGAGAGAACGGTGTCAGGCTTTTCACAACCTCTTGTCAGGGCAAAGATGCCTCCTACCAGGTGTCCTGGCAGAGTTGGCCTGGCCCAGTGGGCAGTGCTGTGAGGCCGCAGGGGTGAGGAGCCGGCCAGCCACACCACATGGCTCGCCTGGAACGGAGCTGCCCATGTCCTGCCAACCTGCCTTGGGCACTAGGGCTTGCATCTGTTGCCGGGACAAGGTAAAGATTTCTGCTTGAGGGAGGATCCCCAGAAAGGAAAGCAGGAAGAGAGAGGAAAAGGGAAAGGAGTTGGAAGAAATAAGGTGCAGCTCTGAGGGGGAGCAGCATGAGATGGAAGTGCCCAGCTGTTCAGGCCTGGCCTGATGTTCTTTTATTTTAGGGGCCTGGGCTGCTGAGAGCCCCAGGAAGAGGCTGACTTCCATCTTGAGCTGCAGATTTCAGTCCTTCCTTGTCTGAAAAAGCAGGTGGGCTGCCAGAAAGGAAAAGAGCGAAGCAGCAAGCTGATACTTCTCGTTTGAAATGGAGTTGGTGCTGGCAGTCAGTGCAAAAAGTGGACTATCTTCCGAAAGCAGCTGTTGGCAGAACTTTAGTTTTAGTGCTTTTAGGGAAATCCTGGTCTGTGAAGGTTTTCTCATCCAGCCAGCGTTTTCTCCTTTCTTCCTGGAAGTTCTGAGGTCTTACGGAGTGTCCAGGGACCTGGTCCTCATCATTGTAGGTCCCTCGTGGCTTTGGCAGAGAAGCCTTTCTTGGCCCTTCTGTATCTCTCTCAAGGACTTGGGAAACTTTGGATGGTGTCTGTCTCCATATGCGGGCTGTGAGGGACTTAGGACACTGCCTCAGACATGCCATTCCTCCATGTTAATGATAATAATCAAAATGTTTATTGAGCAGTTACTATGTGCCGCCGTGTTCTCACTGCTTACTGTGAATTAACTCACTTTGTGCTCTCAACACACCATGAGGTAGGTGCTGTTGTCCCACTTTACTGATGAGAAAACTGAGGCACAAAGAGAATTTCCCATGCCACCTCTCTTTGACCCTCCCTGCACTATAGAAAGTGTTGGGGGGCGGGGTGCAACAAGCACTGGCGAGCCCCCCTGCAATCTTGCAGTCAGACTCAGACTCAAGAACTTTGTCTGAACCTGTCATCTCTGCTGAGCTTCACAAGCCTATTTTGAGTTTAAGGGCTAAGAATGATCTCTCTTTTTGTTCTCCTGATGGCTGCCCTTCCAAGGCAGTGGAGGAGAGATACAGGTGTCCCCCGCTATCCAAAAGTGCAGCATTCCTATGAACCCTTTCGTAAATCGAAATGGTGTAAAGCGAAGCAGCAATTACCATTAATTTATAGGGAAACGTTTTTAAGCATTCCAAGGCCCAAAATTCAATGCGTGCACAGTGTCTTTATTTCATCCACCATGATTGAAATGCTAATTATGTCCAGTTTTACGCTAACTGTAACACCCTTCCAAGATCTCTCAGGCTCTTCTGATACTTTGGGACACATCTTGCTAACGATGTACAACATAAATCGAGATACAGCACAGATGCTCACAGACACAGTTCAAAGCTCTGGCAGCTTGGTGCTGAGATGCTTGTAGTTTTCAGGGAAGGAGAGAAGGAGCTTGGTGCAGCCACTCTCCATGCCTGGGGTGGCGCACTGCATTTAAACTGCTCACTGCAAAGCAAACTGTACCTTATTTTCCCTTTTTTCCTGAAATTGAAAATCTGCTTTGGATATTTTTCGGTTAGTGAATGTAGGTCTTTTGTAAAAGCGAAGTGGTGTAACGAACTTTGGAAAAGCAGGGGATACTTGCATCAGGGTAGACTTGGCTGGGGTAGGGCCGTGGGATATGATGCACAGAATTGTATAGAAGGCATATCAGTGAGAAGGGGACACAGTGGATATATTAGACATTTACACTCATGGATGTTTTAAAGCTCACATTCGTCTCCCCAACTCAAGTCGACCCACCCAGGGCACTGACCGACAGGGTGCTCTCGCCCCGTCTCTTACTATCTGCTCTTCCAGGTCCCACTTCCCCCATCTCACCCAGTCTGGGCTGGTGGCGTTTGGTAGCTCCCTGCTGCTTGTGTGTGGACCCTTAGCTCCCTGACCTGGCCTCAGGGGACCCCCCCACCCCTGCTCCCCTGCCCAATGACCCCATTCTAGCCAGCTGCTCCCACACACCCTACATCCATGTGTGCTGCCCGCTTGTCCCTCCCTCTCTCGCTTCTCTGCTTGCCTGGGACCCACCATCCTTCAAGGCCCTTTCTCCTCCACAGGCCTTTGCTGCCTCCGTTGGCCCTAGTGACCACCTAGTCCCCTGACTTCTGGAGCTGGTTAAGGATGGATGTAACGCTCTTTCTCAGGCAGGCCAGGAGCATGGCCGTGGCAAACAGACTTATTTAACTTCCCTGAACTTAGGTTTTGTGATGGTTAATTTCATGTGTCAACTTGACTGAGTTAAGGGATGCTCAGATAGTTGGTAAAATATTATTTCTGAGTATGTTGGTGAGGGTGTTTCCTGAAGAGACGAGCATTTGAATCGGTAGCTTGAGTAAAGAATATTGCCCTCCCCAGCGTGGCTGGGCGTCATCCAATGCATTGAGGGCCGGAATACGAAAAGGCGGAGGAAGGGCAAATTTTCTCTCTGCTTGAGCTGGCCAGTCCATCTTCTGCCCTCGAACATCCGGGCTCCTGGTTCTAGGACCTTCAGACTTGGAGGTGGACTCATACAGTTCTCAGGCCTTCAGGTTTGAACCACACCACTGGCTTCCCTGGGTCCTCAGCTTGCAGACGGCAGATTGTGGGTCGTCATAGCCTCCATGATGGTGTGAGCCAATCGCTCATAATAAATCTCTTTCTGTATATCTCCAGATAGCCTATTGGTTCTGTTTCTCTGGAGAACCCTAATACAGGTTCCCTCCCATGTAACATGGGGTTAACAATGTCTGCCTCATAGGCTTATTGTGAGGATTAAAGATAAATGTAAAATGCTTATCCCCAGGCCCACCTCTATGGCACCCCGGGGCTCATATTAACTCCTTTTGGCTTTTTCTATATATGTTCTGTCACCCCATTAAGACTGAGCTCCAAAAGGATGAGCATCGTTATTTTTCCTGTATCCTCACAACCTGGCACGTAGTTGATGGATGGTTGATAGATGTTTGAGGGTCATGATGCCAGCGGCCTGAAAGGCAAAGGCTTGGAAAGACCCTGTGTCCCAGCCATTGTGCCTCGGCCTCCAATAGATTCTGGCACTATTTCTACAGTCATAGAGGGGAAAGAGAACCCTTTCATCACTGTCTTTTAATAAATGAGAATTGGTCCTTTTGGCACCTCAGGCCATGAGAAGCCCCATCGGCAGACCCCTGGAATGCTGCAATGTAGAATTGATGGCATGGGTAGGTATCAGGTCACCCCAGACCTCTTAGAAGGCACTCCTGCTTACGCTGGTAAATCTCTAAAACAGTATTCTTTAGAAAGAGCATAGTTTTCAAAACCTCAACATTGGCTGATGTAAGCCTGTGATGGTCTCGGTGTAGCTGCCTCAAACACTGTCACATCTTACTGTGGATTTGACCTTTCAGGGTGTTCACACGGCCCGCTCGAATTCCATCCAGCTCTCTATAAAACGTTTAAACTATGCATTGTCCCTTCCTAGACATTTCTCAGTATTGTCTCCTGGACAGATCTTTTCAGTCAACTTCAAAGTTCAGTTAAAAAATAAAGGCTCATTTTCTCATGTAATGGGAAGGGCTGGGGGCGCCATTTGTAAACGAAGGAACTTGAGGTTTTAGGAATTTTATTTACTTCATGAGATATTTTCCACTTGAGCGGCCCTTCTAGGCCTCTATTAACATTCAAAGATGTCTGTTTTAGGGCTGGCTGAGTGGCTCAGTTGGTGAAGAGCTCACTCAAGAGTGTGAGCTCTGAGCAACAGCAGTTCGAGTCCTAGCCTGAGCTGAGCAGCCACTGAACTGCCAACAGGTGGCAGGGTGGCTCAGCTAAAAAACAACAACAACAACAACAACAAAGATGTCTGTTTTGATTTTTGATCTTGTATGTAGGTTGCCTGGTTGAATCTACTTGTTTGTAGTGCTTGAATCACTTTGCTTAGTTGTGGGACACAGAGGAACGGGACAAGATTTTGGGGTAATTCAAGTCTAGTCTTCTAAAACCCTGTTGGCACCATAATTCATCTCAGGTGAAACCCTCTTTGCAGCAAAATCTGCAGTGGCTGCTCCTGGTCTGAGGAGTGAGGGCCTTAAAGGTGAGAAGGAGAAGTGCATCTTTTTCTTCATTTTACCTCTCTCTCTCTCTCTCCCCCCTTCTCTCTCACCCTTTCTCTGTTCCTTACTCCAGTTTTCAGAAAATTTTTTGAGGCTTATAGTACAATTACACCATAGAGTGCCCCCATTTTAAATGCACAATTCAATGAACTTGAGTGAATTCATCCAGTTGTGTAAACATTAGCATGAACCAGCTTTTGAAGATCTTCATCACCCCCAAAAGTCCTCTTGAACTCTCCACAGTCAACCTCTGCTCCTAGTCCCAACCCCCCAACCAATGATCTCTCTGTCTAGAGTTTTGCCTTTTCTAGAAATTGCATATAAATAGAATCATACAACATGTGGTCTTTTGTGTCGGCTTCTTTCACTTATCATGTTTTTACATGTATCAGTAATTTGTTCCATCTTTTATTATTTTTTGACCTCTCTCTCTTTTTCTCTCACACACACAAACACAGTTTTCTCACAAGCCTTCTCTGACCTTTTTTCACCCCAAGTTTGATCTGGTCTTTGGGCCCTAAGATGTAATTAGGAGAGAAACGTGGAGTCCACACATGAAGCAGGTCCTAAGTGGGTACCTACAGGGGCAGCTGGCCGTCCGGCTGTCCCAGCCCATGGGGGTCCAGGTTATGACATTCCTTGTGACACTGATGGTGAGGAGCAAGGAGGAGTGGGGGGGGGGGTTGGGGGAGTGGGGGTGTGTGGAGTGCTGTCAGTCTGCTTCCTCCTCCTTCCAGCTGGAGACCCTGAGCCTTTGTCCCAGGAAACTGCTATAAACAAAACAAAGCTGGGTGAATTAAGTCAGTTTACTGAATATGTGGTTTAGTTCCACTCAGAGTGGAGTGAGGCCTGGACAGGCACCCTCAGAAGAGGGACCCCAGGCCTGTCAGGGCTGCTGGGTCCCCTGGGGCTTCTAGGCTGAGGGGCAGCAGCAGAGCACCCTGTGAGGGGCCCAACAAGCCCAGGCTGCTTGGCCTGTGCTGACTGGGGCTGGGCTGGTCGCGCTGGGGCTGTCCTTAGATGCTCAAACCAGACCCTGAGAAAAGAGTGGCATAAAGTGAGTGAAAATGGTAACTGCAAACACTCTGGTTTCAATTTTAGTAAAGAGGAGGAGGAAGGGAGGCATATAGGGATGTAGAAAGGGCGGCTAGTGGGGAGGTCTCCCCCGAGCTCCTTGGCCAGCTCCCTTGCTAGATGACCCGGCTGTTGCTTTGATAAATGCTGCTTTCATTTCCATCTCCCAGCTCGGTACCTGGAAAGCAAGAAGATCTCTCAGGCTGTAGAGCCATAGCAGACTGCGGGATCTGTCATGAAGGGTATGGCATTGCTGCCCCCCCGCCCCCACCCCAACCCTGGCAGCCAGCTACACACACACACACACGCATGCACGCACGCACATGCACGCATGCACGCACACGCACACACGCATCAGTGCCTGGAACAGTGTGGGGAACAGCTGCAGTCTGGGGCTGGGGAACTTCTAGACTGCCCCACTGGCTTCCAGCCAGGCCAGGGCAGCTAGAGGGTAGTCCCTCGACAAAAGCACCTTAGTCATCACCACATCCCCAAGTGGCCTAATGCAGCAAATGAGGAAGAATAGCTGGAAGAGCCTCCCAAAGTAAAGACCCACATAGTGCCCTCACTTCCTTAACTTGGCCGGGATGGGGGAAATTGACCTAGGTTTTAAAGAAGTCTTTCAGAGATCAAATGACTGGAAGCAGAGGGTCATGTGATGGGAGGGAGGGCTGGCAAAGAGGCCCTGGGATGGCAGTGGGGTCTAAGTGAGGAGGTAGAACTGGGGTGAGGGGGCTCGTCTTTATTCTTGGAGGAAAACTCTTGTTCTCTGTATATCTTTTCCCATTGGCTTGAGTGAGTGCTCCCTGACTACTAGGAAACATGGTCTCTGACTGTTAAAGAAGGACAGGGAGCAGGAGCAATCGGCACCCCCCCATCCCTACGCGGACCCTCTCAGTGTCTACCTCTGCTACAAGGAAGCCCCAGCCCCACAGCTGCCCCCATCCATCAACCATCCTGTTGTTTCCCCTAAAGCTAGTTGCCTTGACTTGTGCATATGGTGGGGTGGTGCTCTGCCCCAGCCTTTGGCCTAAAGGCCTGCATGCCTGCTCCTATCCACACCTGTCTTGATGCCCGCAGGAGGCATTGTTTCTCTCGCTGGCCTTGGACTTGGCTGTGGTGACAGTGATTGGTGCCAGCTGGGAAGCAGTTGTCAGGGGGGCTGGGTGAGAGCCATGTGACAGGTTGTCAGACCTAGACACACCCACCCAGGGACACTCCCCAGTTATCCTTACCTTGGTGCTACCTGTGGCATTTGTGTGTGGCCTCGGTATCCAGGTGAGGGGAGGGGGTGCTGGTGAGAAGGTTGGCATGGGTACCACAGAACCACAAAGAGGCTGGCGTTGCTTTGTGCCACCTGGTGGACCCTGATGTTTTGCCTTTTTCTTTCCCTGTGTACCTGAACTGAGCTAGGGCTGCAGGTCACAGCTGTGACTCAGCTCTGGCAACCCAACTTAATAAAGTGCTGCCAACCAGGTGAGTCATGCCAGACTGCTGGGGACCAAAGAAAATGTGGCCCGCGGGAGGGCAGAAGGCATGTGGATCTGCCTCTGGTGGCCTTGGCTCTTTTCTTGATTATGGCTGTGGCAGGAGGCCAGGCAAGGGCTGCATGTGACCAGCGTGCCAGGACTGTCCTGTGCAGCACTCTTCTCCACCTCGGTGGCGCCCAGGCTAGGGGCAGGTAGAGAGGACCTAGACCTACATTTCCAGGGGAGAACTGGCTGCCCCCACATTGGGGCCGGTGTGGGAGAGTGGGTGGATCCTAGAGCTAGTCCCAGCTTCCTGAAGAGGGATGACAAATGACATCTCTCTCGAGCAACACGTGAGGGCAGCATCGCAGCGCAGGGCACTTACAGGGAGGTGCCCCAGAGCCCCGTCCGTGGAGGCTCCTTTTTAAGCACCACCCAGGGATGCTGTCCTCCTGCCCTCCGGCGACATCAGTCTCCCCTGAGGCCCGGCATTGGAGGCTGGGGTGTCGTGTCGCCATCCTCCCAGCCGGGTCTCCGGGCCCCTGGAGGAAAGGCTCGGTCCTGTTCTGCGCCTCCGGGGACAGCAGGGCGGCACTGGCCCGCGCTGGACACTAGGGGACGCCCCTGCCCAGCTGAACCCACCCGGGCACGCCCGGCTGCAGCAGGTTTCCGCGAACCCGGGAGAGCCGCGGGCGCCTTCGGGGCAGGGGTTGGGGAGGGGCGCAGCTTGGTGCTGCGTCGAGACCCTGCTGGGAGCTCCGGGCCTGGAGTCCTACCCCGCGCCCGAGGTCAGCTTAATGTCGCGCCCTTTCCGGAGCAGGGGCTCGAGCCAAAAGCGATTAGAACCAGGGAGGTGCGGCGCAGAAGCGTTTTCCCCGAGACAGGGGTGTGTGCGCCCGCGACACAAAGGTCTTTCTCGACCGCACCGCTCCCTTCCCGCTCGCTTGCTCGCTCGCTCGCTGCCCAGCTGCCGGAGGGGGAGCAGCCGCTCTGGGTCGGCCCTAGCGACAATGCTGGGTGTCGGGGGCGGCTCCCCAGAGCGGCCCCCGGAGGACGCGAGGGGGCACTGGGACCTCACCTGGCTCCGTTGGACACCCGCAGTCGCTCCCAGGACTGGGAATCTGGGTTCCTTTTGTGAACGGAGGCAAGGGCCCTCTCTGCATCTTTGAAAATGGTCCCCCTACGCACCCGGTTCTCAGGACTGCGTGCCCTGAATAGTAAACTGGACTCTCGAGGGTTGTCATTTGGGCCCTACCCTGTGCAGTTCGGAGCTGGTTCAGTTTCTTCTCCAGGCAGGTCTAGTGGGGGTTCCCCAAAGCATCTCCGTTACCGGCTGCGTCGGGATCACCAGGGGCTCACCCCTGGGTCTAACCCGGAAACTCTGGGAGGGGCCCAGGAATCTACTTTTGGTAAGTCCCCAGGTGATTCTGATGGCAAAGCCTGTGTGGGAATCACTGTTCTAAATCTTTTAAGGGCAGGCAGTTGTAAAATTTCTCCCCAGAGGAGCCCTGGGGGTGAAATGGTGTCATCCCCCTAGGTTCATTGTAATGTTTTTTCTCCCTGCTGATGGAGAAGTTCTTCCCGAGTCTGACTGCAAGCCCTCCTGTTTTAATTAAGCACCTTTCCTCCAGTTGGGTTTTATATGGGATAATGAGCCTGTTTGAAGACAGATTTGTCTCCTTCGAGGGACCTTTCTCAGGAGATCTGTTTTCCGGGTTCAGCCTCTGAACTCAGCAGACCCACTTGACTGGGCCCAACGGTGAGAAAAATCCACTAAAGCCTGTTGAATGTGGTTCCTTCCAGGGTTTGGAAGAAACCAAAGAGGCTCCCAAAGTACTAGAGGCTGGAGAATTCCAGCAAAGGAAAAGGAAAAATTCCATGGCAGGGCATCCTACGCCTTCCTTTTTGTTGGCCTTTTCAGGATGAATTAAAATTCTTATCTACTTTGCATCCAGAGTACTTGGGCTAGCCTTCCTGATTGCTGCAGCTCGAGTTTCCCAAGCCTGTAGGGTTATTTTTGCCTCTGGGTGGTGGTCATTACTTCCTTCCACAGTATTAGGTTCAACACAGTGACAGAAAAAGAGTAAATTAGCCAATACCCTTCAAATGGTAGGATTGACCCCCCCCCCACCACCACCACCTCCCCCAACCTACTTTGATTTTCTTCCTGCCTGGGTTGTGGGAAATTTCTTGACATCTATGAGAAAGAAGACAATGAAAAATGAATTGTTTTTCCAAAGCAGTTGTGAACAGATGTATAATCCCCTAGTCTCAGGAATGTTCTAGGAATCCCTTACATCACCTTAAAGAGGCAGAGAAAATGGGCGGAGGAGGTGCCCAGGGCAGGCTGATATGCAGCACCTGCAGGGCTCATCTCCTAAAGACAGCCACAGCAAAACCCAGGTCACCTTTGCTGGTTCCGGGCTTCTAAATTTGGCAGTGTGAGCAGACTTGCTTCCTTTCCGCAATTGATCTGAATAGCAGAATCCCATTCTGATGGTCCGAATCACATTCACAGGCCATGGGGGTGAAGGCCATGCTAATTGGCCACTTGCCTCACCACTGGCTTTTAAACAATCGCTTGTATTCTCTGCCTGGCAGGAAGCAGCAGGCACATCAAGGCTCTGGACTCCCTCTTTGTTCTGACTTTATGGCATTTTATGCCACAATAAGAAACACTGTGTACTCCCTGGGAGCCCATTGTGCCAGGCTGCAAGGATGTGAGCTCAGTGCAGAGGGCTGGTGCTCTTCCCCCGGGAAAAGAAGGGTTTTGTGACAGGCTGGGTGCTGGACACTGTTACTGGGGCAACTGCCTGGCCAGTGTGGAGGCAGCTTTGGCCCCTGGGTACCTCTCACCCGCTGGCCAGGAAGAGGGCAGGACAAGGATGGAATTTCTTGTAGGGGAGCGGTCCCGGTTACCTGGTAAATTATACATCAGGACTGTGTTAACCATGACTTCCATTTTCTCTGTGCTGCTGAGACGAGCTCATCCGGCCTCTAGACTCTATGCCAGGTGATGGCATCTATCTAAACCAGTTCTCACACTCCACCAGGAAACACCATCTTGGTGAGTGTGGGCCAAGCCTGGGCCCTCCATGTTTTGGGTAGGTTTGGTCCTTTGAGGTGAGAGTTTTGGTTTTGTAGAAATGGTATGAATGGGGAAGGCCTAGAGAAAGTCCACCCAGTCTCACACATAAATGGGTGAATGGGACTTGAAAGCGACTTAAAGATCCTACCTGCTTCCCAGGCCAGCCACTGCACTCCCCTCCACCCTAGTTTCTCACAGAAGGTTTTCCTCCAGCTGCAGTGTTGCCGAAGCACACCTGGGGCAGGAGACAGAGGTGGGCCTCACGCCAGGAGGGCACTGCAATGGTGGGGAAGGCCTGGGGTCCCTCTGCCTTTCAGCACACTGACAGGGATTCTCTTTCTTGTTTTACAGAGTTTAGCGAATTAAGCTGTTAGAAGTACAGGGGACCTGCCATGGGCAGGCAGGGTACAGGTACATTTCATTGGTGGTGGTAGGGGGATAGTGAGCATGGTAAGATAAGACCTAAGGCTATGAGGATGCCCAGGACAGGGGACTTTGGGGGAGCAGGCCCTGAATAATGGAGTGCCCTATGTGAATGCTAAAAGAAAGAGAGAAGTCAAATCCATCTAGCTTCACCTCACAAGCCAGCCCTGTGTCCCCCTCAGATTAAAGGGTTAGCCAAGTGGGGTCACATGAGTCTGGTGGGGTCCTGTGTTCTCTGGAGGAGCTCCCTCCATGAGAAAGGCCAGTTTCCTGCTGGGCACTATAGAGAACGCCATTCGGTCCTTCCTTCAGCCCATACCTTACTCTGTGCCCACCAAATCTGTCCTTCCCGTCTGCAGTGTTCCCCACATGCCTTTCCCAGCGATCCCATGAAGTGTGTATGAGAAGAGACTCTGCATTCAGACCTGTCCGTCCCCAAGTTTTCTCTATATGACAGCACCTCAGTTGCTCGTGCTTTGGGATAGGTTGACGAGGTCCTCAACTCGGTCCCTTACCCTGTACCTGTACCATTGCAACAGCTACCCGGCTGGTTTTGTCGCTCTCCAGCCCACTGTCCTCATGGCTGCTCCAATGATCTCTCAAAAATGCAGATCTTCTGGCCTGCTCATCCCAGGCTAGAAACCCTTCAGTGGCCTTCTAGAACTGCACACAAACCCTTCACATGCTGCTCCCTGACCACGCCTCCAGGCTCACTTCCTGTCAGTTGTGGCCACACTCAACTCCTTGACTTTCCCAAACATGCAAATCTTTTCAGTCTTTGTATTTCCTGCTGCCTGGAATGCGCTTTCCCTCCCACCTACCCTTGCTCACCTGCTAAACCCTCCAAGATTCAGTGCAAACATCACCTCCTCAGCTGATCAGCTGACAAGAGAAATAATGGAAGCAGCTTTGCCACCAGGCTCTCAAAGCAGTTGGAAGACCGATGGCAAAGAGTACAACCTACTTGGGTGAAAGCTAGGCCTCAAAACGTTGGCTTATGTCCCTGAAGACCCTGCCTGGAGAGTCTGTCCTGGAGGAGGAGTCGAAGGAGGGGGCGAGAATGGTGGTTCCTCACATCATCTAACTTTGCTCTATGTTCTTCCACATCTGGCTCGATGTTTTATCATAACACAAGGCACATTTTTTGATACTCTTGGTTACATGTCTATTCTTTCTTTAGGCTCTGTATCCCTTATAGGCAAGGAGTGTCTTAATCATCTTTGTATTCCCAGAATCTAGTTTAGAACCTGGCGCATAGTAGATACACAGAAAATGAGTAAATATCCCTTGAACTTGGGTGTTCCTTTACCAAGAGCACCTTTCTAGCCACAATTTTGTCCTATCACTTTCTTTACAATATAACTCAAGACTAGCCTTCCAGAATTTGGTTCATTAACTCATTGTTTGAACATCAAAGGTTATTGAGCACCTACTATGTGCCAGCCCTTTTCTAGGCACTGGAGGACTGTGGGGGTACAAAAGAAATAAGAGTTCCATGCCCAAGTTGTGAATGAAACACCTCACCCCTACCCCACAAGACCGTGTCTTTATTTGGCAGTCATTTAACACTTGTGGACTCAATCAGTGCTCCTGGCATCTATAATGCCTGGGACGTGATCAGTAGTAAAATATGATTCACTGTGTGCCAGCATCATGAGAGACAGGAGTAGAAGGCCAGGCTTTGCCTTCAAATAGCCCACAACCTCACCTGGGAGACAAATTGTTTGTTTATGGGATCAATGGAAACCCCAAGAAGCTCCAGCCAGGGAAGACCTGGAGTTGTCAATTTTACAGCTTCTGGGAATTCACTGGGTCCACTGGTTCTCTTGACCAAGTGCTGCTTTCCAAATATTTTCTGTTTTTTTAAATATAGTATTTCCTGGTTTTATAAATTCCAACTTGATCATAAGCTCCACAGAGAAAAGAGACATCATGGCATCATGTCTGGTAGCCACTCTCACTGATCCCCATTTCAGCACCTGATACAAGCCAGGACATGAATGAATGAGTGAATGATTATCACCACTGACAGGCATTCATCACTGGGCACCTTAGTGAGGCACAATAAAAAATCCCAATGTGAATGGGTTCTCCAGTACTGGCAGGTAAGGGAGAGGGAAGGAGGGCTCTCTCCAAACCAGTGTGCCTCTCTTTTGCTAAATGTTACCCACAGATTCTACAAATAAATACTGAGACTCAAATCCAGATGTGTGAATTTGACAAAAGCCCTTCGCCTTCCTACTATTGTTTGTGTCCCTCTTAATTGGTTATTTGCACTGGTGATTGGTTGGTGGTTTAGTGGGTGAGATCTACCTCAAGGCTTTTCAAATTCAGTGTAATCTGTGGTGAGAGAAGAGTGTTGCCCCATCCTTGCTGCTCTTCCACCCTGGTTCCCAGCCTGCTCCTGGTGTTTCTTACTCCTTCTCTAGGACAGCTTTACGGGAAGGTTCTTCAGAGTCAGTGCTTTAGAGCCTTGGTTTTCATCCATTGGGTTGTACTGTTTGTTGTCTTCTCATGTTTGCTTTGCTGTCTTGGAGGCTAACGTTGCCTGCATCAGCTTGCTGACATTGTGGCCATCTGTAACCTATATCAACCCTGGGTGCTTTGAAGTTCAATGTGCAATAAAAAGTTCATTAAAAAGATGTGGCATCATGAAAATGAGGTTACAGAAATGTTAACAAAGGATCGTTTCCTGCTTCCTGTGCCATTATTTTTACTTTTTTAAAATGTATTTCTCTGAGGAATTTATGTCACCATTAAAACTACGGAAGAGTTAAAGGAAGGACAGGCCTGGGTCAAAAAGAGGGTGAGATTCCTGAGGAGATAGCTTGGCAAAGACCCAGGCTGTTTGCTTAATTGAGAGCTTAGGGTCTAAGGAGAGGATTTAAGCCCGAAAAAAAGCAGGGGCAAATCTAGAAGTCTTAAGACTAATGGTTTGAACCAGACATTTTTGATAGAGATGGATAGCTCCAAATGGATAGCAAGAGCCTCTGGTCATTCAAGGTCTGTGGCAATGTAAGCAACACTTGGAATCACTGGGTTCCAGCCTCTAGGCAGTGGCTGCGCTGGCAGGTGCCTCTTGTCCACCTGAGGTAGAGGAGGAGACAGAGAGATGGAGTGAGAGAGAGGTACATGTGCTAGTGTGGCAGAGTGTCACTAAGACTGCCTCATGGCACCATTGGCTTGTTCACTGCCACATTGGCCTACGTTACAGAAGGTCAAGTTCCAAGCCTCAAGGGATGTCCTGGGAAACCAAAACACTAAAAGTACAAAAGCCGCTGGCATGACCTTAAGATAAGGGAGGTGCCCCACCCGCCACAGTGAGCCATTTAACCAAGAGGAAAGACCTTTGGGACTCAGGGTTCTGATTTGACAATGACCAAGACACTTTAGAGGTTGGCCCATCTACCGCCTACATTTTGGTTGACTTGACTAAGGCCAGGCTCCAGTTAACAACACACCCAGGCTTCGCCCTCCATACCATGAAGCCTCCTAGAGGGCCCCTGGTTCTCTTGTTAAAGGAAGGGCAGTCACAGATGACCATTCCTGGTAAATACATTGTCACTTCTCTAATGACAAATGGTGACACCATCAGCACCTTTATTTCTTGGCATACACACTCACACACAGATGTTAGAATAATGTACCCTGGGATCCAAAGTGAAATAAACAGCTCTCTTGTGGGGAAAGGCCCCTGTTTTTCACAGGCCCTCCGTGCTTGAGCAGTGGGAATGCCCGCACAGAACGTTCACCCAGCCTCAGCAGCCTTGCCAGCCTCTATTTCGGAGGGCAAATATTCCTAGAGACTCACTCGCCTGTGTGACCACTAATGACCATTTAACGACTACTCATGTTTAATAGTAAGCAGTTATGTGATTATCACTTACGTTTCAAACAGCAGCCACTTAGTTTTAGTCCTAATGATGACAATGCCATGTCCTACCAAGTGACCGTGAGGACCTCAACAGATTGCACATCTAGTAAACAGCGCTGGAGGTTTCAGGGCCTGCTGTCCCGTGGGCCGGGTCAGAGCCAGACTTACCTCCTCTCTCACGAGCCGGTTGTAGTTGAGTCTCATGAGCTCTGCGAACCGCTGCTTATAAAGGTGAAGCAGCAACATCAGGTACAAGCCTGAATTCATCAGCTCGTTCTGTGCCTACATTGGGAAGAAAAAGTTCTTAAGTTCACCTACAAAATACTCATGAGCTAAACCAGGGGTCAGCAAACTGAGGCTCGTGAGCCACATGCGGCTCTTAGGATACGTTCCGTCTCAAAAGTTTGCCGACCCCTGAAAATCATGGGGTGGAGGGTGACAAGGCCAAGAGGGGACAAGATATAAGACAAGAGCACAAGCCCCAAGGCCAGGCCTGCCCTTGAGGGCCAGAGAACAGAGCAGGAGGGCATCCCGGGTGGAGGCCGTGCAGCCATCCAGGAATTCTTCACAACCTACGACAGAACGCCCTGGAAGAGCCGTGCCCCAGACTCAGTTCCATACCATGAACACGTATCGAAAAGCAACGCGTTAAAGCCTTGAGCTGAGTGTTGTGGGGAACAGTGGGGAACACGGGCAAAAGGTCTCAGCTCCCTGCTGGGACCCCATCATCTGATGTGGGAGAGAGCGGCTTGTTCATAAACAGCTCCTGTACCAGCTGGATATGTCAGCCGGTGCTACAAGAGAGATGCAAAGCGGAAGAAAGAGACTGCCTGAATACGACACGGGGCAAATTTTTTAGATGGTCCTTAAAGGTAGGAGGGACTTTGGTAGGTCGCTCCGAGAGGTGTTAAGGGCCTTTCAGATGCAGACACTGAATGCCAGTAAAGGCACAGGGGTGGAGAAAGCAGAGCATGTATTGGGCAAAATTCCCTCCTCACTGGTGTGTGTGGAGTGTCGAGGGAGGGTGTTTTGGACTTAACATTTTTTTTTGGCATGGGCGGGGGAGATGGTGAGGTGGGACCATGCTAGGCAGAAGTGAGGAGTTTGGACGTCATGCTGTATGTATGTATGTATGTACGTAGCTACTGGCCTCTGGTGTCTTAAGAAGGTAAGCTTCTCTGTGGGAGAATCTGGGACATAGATGCTGTGGGGGCATCTCCCTTTAAGATTGGACTTAACGATGGTCCCACCTACGGTCTTCTGCCCAGGCTGGTCTATTACCATTCAACCCCCAGAAAGTGGGTGCCCGGCAGGATCTCGGATGACACTGTGAACCTCAGGGCCTTTGCTTGTGCTCTTCCTCGTTTGGTCTGTTGGCTTGTTTTTGTACCTCTGGTTTGAATGGCCGGCTGTGTCCACAATTTCTTTTACTGCTGTCACACCATCACCTCCTAACCATTGTCCCAATTATTCCTTTAGTCCCTGACTCTGAAGCATTGGTCTTTAGTTTATACACTGCATCTTGCACGTGTTAATGTTTTGGCCTTTTCATGGTGGGTGGGTTGTGTCTTATTTTTCTCACTGGTGCTTAGGACCTGGGGAGGGACACAGGGAGGATCTGGCCGTCTGGCTGACCATGGCTCCTCTGTCCTCAGCTCCTTTGGCGGTCTGTGCTGCAAGGCCTCACCCTGTGGACGCTTCATTGACCTTCAATAAATTAGTGGCATTAGCAACCACTCCTCCCCTCAGCCACTTGAATGCCCCATCTGTCCTCACGCCCAATCCCCACTTGGGGGAGGCCTTGGGAATGAGCCAGGCTGTGCTCAGGAAGCCCCAGGGGACGAAGAACCCCAGCAGAGGGCATGGCCCGTCACATCACCCTTGGGAAAGGTCTGGACTGTGACTGTTATCCCAGGGTAACTGAAGCTTGGACTTGACACAGTGACTGCCTCAGCGCCTCTTCCTTCCTCCTGCAGCAGCCCGAGGTGCTTTACAGGCCTATCTCCAAGTTCCTATTCATTCAAGGGCAGCTCAGGAAGCTAGCACAGAACACACCTCGTCCAGGATGAAACAGCTGCCAGGAAAGGTGCCCAGGCTGAGCAAGGAACGATGTGCTTGCTCTTCCTTCTGAAGCGGGGTCAACGATGGACCTTGGTGACCACCAGCCCCAAGGTCACTGCTCAAGGCCCCTCCCCCGCCCTACAGACCCATCTTTAAAGGCTGTCAGCCACTGTCCTTAGCAGTTAACCTCCTATTTTTAGCCTTTAGTCATATTTTCTGTGCTCTCCTGATCTTGGCCTGGAGCCAGCAGAGAAGAAGTTGCTTGTTTTCCCTTTTGTTTTACTGTTTTAATTGTCGCCGCCCACCTTCCCCATGAGTCAGTGACTGCTTTATGGTCTGTCTCTCAAGTCACCTCCTCTGGGAAGCCTTCCTAGCCTACCTTTTAGCTCCTCCACGCAGACCAAGCCTTGTCTCCTGTTTGCTTTTCTCAGCAGTGGTGGCCTCCTACAAGCTGCCGATGGTTTTCTCTCCCTCGCCCTCTTCGCCAGTAAGCCTTTTATGCTCAGAGACACTCGGAGGCATAATGGCAAATCAATCAGCTAGAAAATGGCTTGGAACTATCAGGTTTGTCAAAGCATTCAGGGAAATCATTTACTTTTTATGACTCAATAAGGCCCGGAGGCATGCAGATGGGAAAATATCCACTAATGTTTTCTGCAGATCATTTGAAAAGTCACTTCTAGCAGATTGTGTCTCTTCTCTGGTCTGTGGGAGGGAGCCTGTCACACGGCACCATAAATCTCACTGGCCGTGCTCCTTTATGTGCAGAGCTTGTGACGCTCCACAAAGGGGCTGGGCCAGCCAATCCGGGCAGGCATTTCAGAGTTGAGCCAAGTCATCCTTATACGCCGAGCCACAAGTGGGAGGGGTTGGTTATCAGAAAGAGTTCCACGGTGGTTTGTTCGGCAAGGGCAAAATGAGCTAGGTTTCAGGAGTGTTATTTACTGGGCTACTCCTGACCCACCCCTCCCCTGACCCAATCGTCTCTCATTTTGATGCCCAGGTGCAGTGTTGGGTGGGAGAAGAAGGTGGGTGGGAAGAGCGAATGGGAAGACTTGAAAGGGAGAGCCTGCAAAGCAGTGGTCAAGAGCTCTGGAGTGGTCAGCCCTCCTGCCAGATGTTTTCCTTTCTCCTTCCCTCTCTTCATTGTGTTAATATTCATTTCGCCCGAGAGATTTGGTACCGATGGAAATTCTCAATTTAATCCACTCAAAGAAGCAGGCAGCCTGGCAGGATGTTCTATCAAGTCTTCAAATATGTTCAAGAGATGCTCCCAAGTGCGAGGGTGATTAGGTGACTGCGTGTGTCCAAGGACATCTGCCCGTGGTTGGGATGCAGCGAGGCCAGGCCTGTGCTTCGGAGCAGTGACAGCCAGAGCCCTGCGGAGACCCTCCTGAGCTGCAGTGCCAAGATGGCAGAAGCACTTCTCCATCTCACAGTGGGCGTGGGGCCCAGAATGGGCAGCCTGGAGCCAACAAGGACTATGACTTCGAGCAAAGCGTTTTAATTGTGCATGTTGCTCATGGGTTCTCAGGACCATAGTTCTCCCACCAGGGTGGGTCCGTCAGTCTGGTCTCTACCTGTGATTATAATACAGGGCATCTTCAAAAGGCTTCGATGGCCTGTCCAGCTCTTACTGAAACTAATTTCAATGCTTTTCTGCTTCCAAGTGGAGTAATTATTGTGCTGGATATTTTCTGATTTCCCCTCCAGGTCTACTTGCAACCCTGCTCTGTGGCCTTGAGGCTGATCCCGGTGGATTGCACTACCTAGGTTCCTTTGTCCTCTGGCTTCCCATTGGGTTTGGCCAAAGGGAGGGGGGTGGGAGGAGAGGGAGGCTGGGCTAAGCATTCCCCTTGTTCCCTCTCTGCTGGGCAGTGCTGTGGCAGTGGCTACTTCCCTCTAGTTAAGGTCATAGGCTGTTGATTCTATAGCCACGGCCCTCCCTACCCTGGTAACTGTCCCCTCCCCTTGTCACTTCAGGCCTCAGGGTGATCCCTTTTGGCAGTTTTATATGCTTAGTCATATAGTTCATTTCTTTCACTGCCCACATTTTCTGCCCTTCATTCAGCTCTCATTGCTCACGCCTGGTGAGTGTGCCATCATCTTTTTCCTGCCCAGACTCTGGCTGAAACAATCACTTTCACAGTTCTTTTTAGAATGTGCTTATAGCTGGTTATCTCAGCTGGTAGGATGCAGTGAGGCCAAGGATACGGGTATGACCCTGCATGGGCCAGTTGTCTTGGTTCAGGGAGGGACTCTAGCCTGGTCCTGGTGCACTTAGCCTTCTCCTTGGAGTGCTGAAGACATTGGGCATCCCTGTGGCTGTAATGTGGCACTTCTCATTTACTGAGAGTCTTCTCCACACAGGCGTTGTATTAGGTGATGTACTCGGGTCTTTTTCTACATCCAACCCTGTCAGGTAGGAATTATCTCCCACTTCCTACAGATGAGAGAGTTTGTGTAGTTTCCCCAAGGTCACACAGAAACTTTGGGGAAGGGAATAGGATTTAGGTTCACATCTTAGGCCAAAGCTGGTGTGCTTTTCAGTGGGGTGGGCTGCCTGGCTTCATGAATGCAAATGTTTTAGTACAAATGGAAAAATTTGCTGTTAGCAAGTCAATTCTACAAATACCACTGATAAACCAACAGTCTATGGTGGCAGCAGCAGCTTGGCAAAGGGAGAATGATGTGGAAACGCTTGGGCCAAAAGGGGTGTTTACTGGACGAGGCGTTCCCCTGGGCTGGATATTTGTGATGTCTGCAGACCATTCTGGCAGCATTCCGGGTAACCCAGCCTTGTCTCGACACGTCCTTCTCAGGAAGTCCGACAGGCTGTTTCCGGAAATAATCTATTCTTTGAGATGGCTGCAAGGAACCTGTCGGCACCCAGGCTGGCACCCTGACCCCAGGCACTCAGAGAGTCTGGTTCCTTTCAATATTTTGACTCCAGCGTCCTCAAGGACCAAGAATGCAAACCACTTGTTCCTCATCTCAGACCCCAGTGCCTGGGGGTTATGACAGAGTGATTCAAGACCCTCAAAATGTATGGACTCAAAATACTGAGTTTATTTCTCAGGAAATGCTTTCTCCCTCTCTCCCTCCCTGACTCACTCACTTCCTGTGCCCATTCTCTGCACTGCTGGTGTGGCATTATGTCCATTATCTCAAACTTCTTAGTCACACTGTTCAAATCCCCATTCTTATCAATATTTTGTTCTTTTGTCTAGCAGCCTCAGGATTTTAAAAAAGTAACTACAGAATTGCCCAGACTCACATGCACCATTTTGACTCAGCTGTGCTATTTGCAAAAATAAAAAAGGTCTGGATATAGGCTAATGATCTGAGAGCCGAAGTGACTCCTCTGAAGGGTGACATTTTAGTGGTTAACAATGATTTTATAGTTTTTAAATTACATGCTTTACAGTCGTGATTATTAATCATTTTCCCCCTAATCACGCTGTGAGGGAGGTCAGCCTGAAATTATAATGGTAATGTGGGCTATTTTCATTTGATAAATATTTATTGACAGCTTATAATGTGCAAGGCACCTTCTAGATCAGTGCCACCCAACAGAAATATAATGAGAGCCACAAATGCAAGCCACACATGTAATTTGAAAATTCCAAGTAGCCACATTAAAGAAGTAAAACAACAACAACAACAAAAAACCTGGTGAAATTAATTTTAATATATTTTACTTAACCTAGTATAGCTGAACTATTATCACTTCAACAAATAATTAATATAAATTTATTCACGTGATACTTTACATTTTTTTTCTTGTACTATGTCTTTGAAATTTGGTGTGTATTTAACACAACTTGATTGGAAGTAGCTGCCTATACGTCAGCCACATGTGGCTTGTGGCTTCCATATTGGGCGGCGCAGTTCTAAACAGGTTGTTTGCCTGAGAATTGGGTAATTAACTATCATTCTGGGCATAAGTCACCTACCTGCCTAAGGTTAACTAACTCCTTCACAGTATTAGAATTGCAATCTCCAAATGTCCCAAGAGAGAGTTCATTCAGTAGGTGTTAAAAAGCACACAGTAGGTGCTTACTACATGTTCATTACCCTTGAGTTAAGCAGTTTATTACCCCAGAGTTACTTGATATATAAATTGGGGACCATTTCCTCCAAAACTCTGATTTTCTTTTTTCTCTCTCTCTTGTTGCTATTAAACTTAAATTCCTTCAGCTAATTTGGTCGCAGAGCTCACCAGACGTTTCCTATTTCTATGTCAGCTACTGCAGCTTCCTACTTTTGTCCCAGACAGCAGCGGGACCTCAACCCAGGATGACCAAGACTTTCCAACCCTCCAGTGGTCCAATTTAGTAACAGATCTTCTCAAAGAAGTGAACTAAATAGACACTCCCAACTCAATGCCATGCACAGACAGGCCTCCTGCATTCCTTGTGTCAGGGACACAGCTTTTCCCTTGTCTCGTGCCTCTCACCACCGACCACCGACTTGAGCCTGTGGCGGCAGAGTGGGTGTGCGCATGCGTCTCTTACCCGGAACTGCTGGTGCTTCCTGTAGAACTCGGTCAAGTTCAATTCATCCAGATTGACCAGGAGGCCTTGCTTACACATCTCGCAGGTCTTCACAGTGCCTAGATCCGCTCCTTAAAGGGAAGAATTATTTGTTACATATGACCCTGGATCTTTTTGTGTTGACATTTTGAGAGCTAACTTGTGTGTGTTATGAATTCTGAGTTTCAGTGACCTTCTTTTTGAAGTCAGCCATCTTCCGTAGAAAATGACCTTGAATCTGAAATTGGAAAAAAATTTCCTTTGGAATCATTTTCATTATGCAAGCTTCATGTAAGTGAAATCCCATGACTTTTAAATAACAGGTCTTGCTTTCAGTTTAAATATAAACACATTGGTTCATCAAATTGGATTTGTTACATGGATGTTGACAGTCTGTGACACAGGTGTTTGCAAAAAGAGGAAATACTGGGCCTATGTTTTTGCTGTTTTTTTTTTCTTGCAGATCTAACACGGGTCCAAGGAAATAAATTAGTGAGGACCAAATTAATGGCAGAATCTATCCTCAAGCAATGGTTTAAACATCTGCCTTTACTCCCACGCAGGTGACTTCCCACCTGAGGAAAGTGAGGGAGCCAGGGGCCATGTGTGGGAACTAGCACAGCAGTATCTGGGGCCAGCCTGTGAGCTCAGCCACATTTGGGAAAAAAAAACATGAGAAGGTTTCCTTTGTTTCTGTGTGTGTGTGTGTGTGTGTGTGTGTGTGTGTGTGTGTGTCTTTTAAACATGCATTCTAGATGAGCATTTTTGGGAAAAAAAAACATGAGAAGGTTTCCTTTGTTTCTGTGTGTGTGTGTGTGTGTGTGTGTGTGTGTGTGTGTGTGTGTGTCTTTTAAACATGCATTCTAGATGAGCATTTTTTTCTCTGCTTATCCTATTCCCAATGCAGAAGTGGAAGATGCAGACAGACCTGTGGCTTTTCTATCTGGGCAAACATTCTGTCACATGTCTTGTCCCCCGTGTAGTTGCTGCCTTTTGGCCTATGATATGCTGGTGTTTATTTTATACATTAGAGACTAGAGGATGAATTAGTTACCTGCATTTATTTAGTAAAGATAGGGTTTGTGCAATCTCAGAGCCCAGTTCTATTTCTCCCCACTGGGGACATAAAGAAATAGTAAATAATAGAGACTTTCAAAGGACAAGGATGAACAGTGATCCCTTATCTGTATTTTGTTTGCTCGGGTTTTTTTTTTTTTCAAGTATCATTCTGTAACGCTTTAGGCTATTGAGTGTCCCATGTGTCTTTCAGTCTAATCCTGCTCAACACACCCATACTACTGCCAGTATTGATAAGCATTTAGCAGCACATTTATCACGCATTTCATGAGTAATTTTTTTCAGTGCTAGATGTTTAATTGGCCTAAATTTCTAGTAAGATCAAATATTTCACGACAGAGGCATTAGCAGCCGAAATCCACTTGTTTCTTTGCTTTCTGAAGGACGGACATGCATTTAAGCAGCGTGGTCCTTAATTTCTCATGCTCAGAAAGATGCATATATGGTAAAAGGGCCTCAGGGAGGAGGCAGTTAATGTGATCATCTCACATGCTCATTCCTCTGATTAAATGGTGTTCTGTTCTTTGTGAGGGGGCACAGCCATACCTCATGGGGACAGGGGAAAGCTCTTAGGTCTCCCGGGCTGCCTGGAAGGATGGCCACTAAGGAGGAGAATATGGGAGAGGAGAGAAATAGGATCTGGCTAGGGGGTGAAAATTTTCAGAGAGGTGTGTCAAAGGCATTGAAACTATTTTCTAATTGAGTTGCTCTCTGCATTGGTGTTACATGATTTTTTGTTCAAGTTGCACTCATTCCTAAAACAATGTTTTAAAGACGCCTCCTGCTCTCTGCCCAGAAAACTACATCCAACTTATTAGGTGGGTGTATTTAGGTTATAACCTCCCCAGGGCATTGAAAAGGGGCTTTACACCCAGTTACAAGACCTGTTAAAGACCGCACTGACCAAATCAGCACATGGAAATCTTTTTGTCTAATATGGTTCTAGAAAATTCAATCAGTGCTCTTTTTCTATCCCTACTGCAAAAAGGCAACTTTGCTGGGTTTCTTCAGCGACACCCTACTTCCCCACAAATAAAAGGAAGCAGAACTGCTTTTGCCGGCTGTCTACAAGCTGGCATGGTGGCCGTGTGCTTGCTGAGGTTCAACCGCTGACCCATTTCTATCTTCCTCCGGGGCGGCACTCTTAGCATCTCTGCTCAGGTGTCAAGCAGGGGTAGCATTCAATAGCGTATGGTCCAGGATTCTTCTCTCAGATGTACAAAAATATTCATTTCCCTCCCATGATTTAAAGAGAGCATCTTGCTACTATCTGTCAGGGCTGTAAGCAAGAGCCCTGGCCCTATGGAGGAGAATGAGCTGTTGTCAAGGTCTGAGTCCCATACCGTGGTGCCTTTTACTCCTTCCATGCGGGAGCATGTTTGCCGCTCTTCCTTGCCCACCTACCTGATGTTATTTTCACGTTCAGCCACTTTTTCAGGCACTCTTGATGAACGAACCGCAGGCTCCCCACACAGCCGCAGGGCTCCAGGAGGGGGTTGGTTGGGGAACCCCTTGGTATCTGACAGATGCGACACAGGTCTCCCTCCTCATCTGAGTCGTCTTCCAGGAGACTAAATGGAAAACACGCCCTTGTGACTAGGAGTTGACACCTTTGCAGTTCTCACAAACACCAGTTCCCAGGGCCTTAACAGAGGCTAGGGGAGAGAGCATCCCCCCCACTGCCAGGGCTCTGGCCCCCCCACCGCCACTGCTCCCTTTGACCCTACTGAAGGTTCTTCTAGGTCTGGTTACTGCTGCTAGGTGCACAAATTCTTATATCAGGCTCCTCTGCAGATATTGCTATAGGTGCGCTGGCCAGGAGAACCAGCACTGATACCACGAGTCTAGAGGTGTGGGAAAGGGCTGCCAAGGGGAACTGCGGAAGAGGCTAGGAGCCCCTCTCCCTGCCATGGTCACTGTGACTTAAGCTCCCCAGGTCTCCGTTTCTTCATCTGTAAAGGCATGGTGATACTGATACTACTGCTGCCTACTACACAGGGTGGTGGGCAGGCTGGATGCGAGGATGATGTAAACTTATTCTGTAAACTGGAAAAGGCATCCAGTGTCTGGCAAAGTATCTGCACGTAGAGATCACCCAATAGATGCTGGGCAGGAAGAATGATGAACCAGTGAACCAGGACATGAGCTCACCAACAACACAACACTTGCCAACAAATTATGCCAACATTCCAGAATCTGGTGAAGATGAAATTAATGAAAATGTAAGCAAATATATTCATGTCTAATAAGTGGTGAGCGAAGAATAGTTGGTTGATGTTCATTTTAAGAAGCCTAAGGTTACTTTTTTTGTTCTTTAGAATCCTCATGGGACTGGGGACTCTCTGGTCAAGGAAAGGAAGCTAAAATCAAAGAGACTAAAATCAAAGGAGAGGAAGAAATGAGCATTGCTCTGGATGTAGAAGTGTCTGCTCAGTGTCTTGGGTGACCTTCCTCCCTAAGAAATTGAAGTTCAATGAAAAAAACCAGAATTATAGTTTTCTGTTATGGACACAAACAAAAGAAGAGATACACTATGTTTATCAAAGAAAGACACAGTATTTCCAAGATGTCAGTTCTCCCCAGGATAACCTATAGATTCAATGCAATTCCAATGAAAACCCAACATGCTGATTTTTCAACATATATAGTCAAGGACTTTTAAGGAACAAAGTGGAAAGGGAGGCTTTGTACCATCGGTTATCAAAACTTACAAAGCTGCAGACATTAAGATGGTGTGGTATTGAATTAAGGAAAAACAAAAAGGACCAATAGGACAGAACAGAGAGCCCTGAAACAGAGGCATACATTTATAGGTATGTTACATGACAGAGGTGGCCTGCAGGTCAGCAGGGAAAGCCCCTGAGACAAGTGTGTATTCATAAAGTATACCTTATACCACATATTAAATATCACTTCACATTTAAATCCAAAATCCATTTCACTTAGTGTGCAAAGTAAAACTGTAGAGGTTTTAGAAGACAATAGATTTGGAAAGGATTTCTTAATCTAGACAACAGGATACAAGTCACAATCCAAAAGAAAATAGATACATTTGGCTATGTTAAAATTAAGAATTTATTTTCATTAGAAGACCTCAAGAAAAAGACAAACTACATATTAGGAAAAGATATTTCCAACACATAATGGTCAAAGATTAGTAGCCAGATTAGTAGTCAGAATATACAAAGGACTGCCCAAACAAAGGATTTTCTAAAAGAGAATAATTTATGTCTTGCAAATGACAAATATTTTTTCAGAAGAGGAAACACAAATGGCCATTATCCTTCAAAAGGGCACATGAAATGCCTAACCTCTCAACAGTCATGAAAATGTAAATTAAAGCCATGGGGTGACTGGTTAGCTCAATTGGTTAGAGCATCGTGCTGATAAAACCAAGGTTGCCGGTTTAATCCCCGCATGGGCACTGTGAGCTGCGCCCTCCTTAAAAGAGTGAACTATGCCATTGTAGCATGAAAGCAATGTGTAAACAATGACCATGGCTGTTCCCTAATAAAGTTTTTTTTAAAAAGCCACAATATCATTTCCCTTCCATCAGACTGGCAAAAATTTGAAGAGCCAGTCAATACAAGAGCTGGCAAGGATGGACAACAGTATACCTTACTGGTGAGATGATACATTAGCATTATTTATGGTGATGGAAGATGTGCTATCCGCCAGCCCAGCAACTCCACGCCTAGATAAATAATATCCCAGAGAACTCTTGCCATATGCACCAGGAGACGTTTACAAAAATGTCCACGCAAAGCTGTTTGCAGGAAACAGCAAAGAACCCAAATGTCCATCGATAGGAGAATGGCTGGATTGGGGTATATTCATATAATGGAATACTTTGCAGTGGCGAAAGTCAGCAATTTCAAGCCAAAAGTATCAACAAGGATGCACCTCGTTAATGATGTAAGGAGAAAAACCAAGTGGCAGAAGAACAGATATTCCATTTTTCAGAAGAATAGATATTCAAAAGTAATAGGGACATTTCTATAAAATTTAAAAATACACACTATTGTTTAAGAGTACATATATTCATATGGGAAAATCATAAGGGAAAAAAACTAACAACAAAATAAAAAGCAAAGGATGATAAATGCAATGCATGAGTGGTTTCCTGAGAGTGGAAGGCGATGAGAGGGAGGAGATGAGGGAGGGAAGGGAGATAGGCGGGTGAGGGGCTCACCAGCTCCAGCAATGTTCTCTTAGCTGGAAGGTGGGCGCAGGGATGTCTGGGTTTTGTTTTGTTTCTAATTCTTTAGAGTGTACATATGTTATATACTTGTTTGTAGGTATTAAAGTAACTAACCGAGGGAGGGGTTTTAAAGAGTGTAAGTGGCATTGAGAAATGGGCTTGAAATATTAAAGTAATGCATATTATAAAGTATGAACCAATGTTCACTTAACATTGCATTTATATGCAAAGATAAAAGAGTGGAAGCAGTTTTGAACAGTGCTTATCTCTGGATTATAGGGTTACAGGTGATTTTTCCTTTTAAGTTTATATTTTCAGTGTTTTCTAAAATGAATACTTTTGAAATAAGAAAAGCATAAGGTTGATTATATACAGAAAAAAGAGAGCATCTGATAAACAATGTACACAAGTAATAGCTGTTTAATGCATTACTGCACTACTAGAAGTAGATGCTTTTTAAAAAAAAGAGAAATCATTTTTAGCTCCAACGCATCACTTCAGGGTGGTGGAAGTTCAGATTCTCGACTTCTGAAGTTGTATTTTTGGGTAGGGGAGGATTGGGTGGGTGTGAGGTCTTTTGGCTTTTAACTATGGCTCTGTCTTCTGGTAGTTTGTATAATATGGAAAAGAAAGGTGAGGCTTACTAGAAAGTTGCTTCATTTCTGCTGTTGAATAAAAGGCATCTAGGAGTACGTATGCATTCTATGTCCTATATTTTTTTCCTCCTTGTTTGCATTTTTAATTCATTGCTATGGAGTTTTCCCACTTACAAATAAATACCAATAAGATAATTAATGGCCCAAATGAGCCATGCTAACATACACACAAAGGGCTCAAATTCCAAGAATTGATTTCCTGATCTGTAAGCCAAAATCAGGACATGGTAACACCTATCATAAATGAAATGGTACAAGCCTGACATGATGTTTAATGATGGCTTTAAAAAGTATCCAATTTCATAGTTGTGAAATGTCCCAATATCAACTCATAAGGAAGAAAAGATAAAAGAAAAGGGTAATTTAAAAAAGATCTTATTTCTCTCTCATACATGAAAAAGAGCACATAAAACGGAAGCAGTGGTTACCCCAGCATGGCCCTTCAGAGAACTGAGCTAACTATGGTAACTGTTGGGGACCAGCCTTTTAGTTTACAAGATTCAAATTCTAGAGCTGTTGGTTGGATTTGAGAAAAGTCCCATGAGGGAGAGCTGGTGAACTTCAAGTGCTGAATGGCTCATTCTTTGGGGAGATAGCAACCTTTTTGTGAAAAATCTTGGTTCCTAGGGCTGGCTGAGTGGCTCAGTTGATTAAGAGCTTGCCTAAGAGTGCAAGCTCTGAGCAACAGCATTGCTGGTTCGATTCCCGGCCCAGGCTGAGCTGCCACTGAGCTGCCAACAGGTGGCAGGATGGCTCAGCTTAAAAAAAAAAATCTTGGTTCTAATTGCCAGCAAGAAATTGTTGCTGTAGGGAGCAGTAAGAAACCCTTTTATCTAGGAAAATTGCCTTTCTTAAACTTACAGTATTCAAGGGAAAAACACTCTGGGAATACTGAAGAAATTGAGCTGGAACACCAAACTTTTCTTTATAGAGACATGTATTGTTAAGAGCAACAAAATGGACAATTTTCTTGATATAAGCAGCCATTAAAATGTCAAGGAAGGGCCTAACTATGATCTAAAATTCCCATGACCCTCTAATGAAAGCACGGCTTATTCCAGCATTGGAAAAATTGAATAAAAATATATGTATTTACATATAACTATGAAAATTCCTCACCTTTCTTGCAATTTCTTGAGTTTCTCAGCGTCTGCCTTTATTTTTGTGGCTTCCTGTGCATCTGTGAAACCAGAGACTGCCATTCTGTTCCCATTACCATTTTGATTTGGGAAATCAGGCACTGCAAAGAAAGTGAAAGGTGTATTTTCTTGCAGGGACCCAGGCCCGTGCAAGTGGTCTTGTAAGTTCACTCTGGGTGCAGAGGAGCTGGAAGACTCCACCAAGGACAAGCTGCTTTGAGGATTTAGTAACAAATCTTCTGTACGCAATGGAGCCCCCTGAGGTTGGTTTGTTAAAGTCATAGCTTCTGCTCCCCTGACATCAAGTTCACGTACACTGTTTACTGGAAAATAACTGTGGTTTTCAGCATTGGCAAATAGATTCCTATTTCTAATGGGGGACAGTGGTCGAAGCACATTAAACCTTGAGTTTCCCTCTGGGTTTGAACTGTGAACTAAAGTAGATGTCATTGACAAGTCCATTGGAATATCATCTCTCAGGGCAGAATGCATCAATGATCCAGGAGTGTAATAAGATGAATGTATTGATGATCTTGGAGCTGTTGGTCTGGCAGAAAGAAAACAATCAAGAGAAGTGCTAGAATTGTTTAAATAGATTTGCCAATCTCTTTCATAATCATGGATCCCAGGCCTATCTTCCATAGAAGTGCAATCACTAAATACATCTTCAGCACTGAGATCATCATCTAGACTGCTTTCGGACTTGGTGTCCCATGAATAAAAGGTCTTTTTCTCATTTTCACTGTCACTATTATCATTCTCCTTAGCAGAACCCTCATCAGGCAGCCTGGGGTCTTGGAACACGCTCTGCCTGACAGAAGGCTGCTCTGTCACTGGCTCCACAGCATTGCTTATTCTTGGTGAGCCATAACTGGACCCACTTCTTCTTATAGAATTAGCTCTGCAATTTTCAGGATTGTCTTCAGAATTTTTATTTTTGGCCTGAGTGGCTGATGTTCCAAGAAATCGACTTCTCTTGTGACTGGAAGGAGAACAGGGTGATTGCATATCAGCCAACAGAAGTTCTTCCTCCATGTGGATTTCCTCTTCAGTGTCATCATTTTCTTCTCCAGGGCTTAATGATAAAACAGAATAAAAATCTTCATCTCTGAACCTAAATGGCACCCTTTTGGACCCTCCCATGGTGGCGGTTATGAGTGGTGACCCCAAGGACTTGCTCAATACTTGAGGACTGTTGGCTCTTTGGAAGGCCTGGGATAGGGCTGGGGGTGGCTCATTCTGAGAAAGAACACTCAGGTCTCCTCCCTTGGCTTTCTCAGGGGTATTCTTGGTCATTGTCATTAGCGGTGAGGATGAAACTAAGTTTCTTCTCTCTCGACTTGGCCTCTTCAGCTTAGCGTCACTTGCCCACATTGGGCCTTCTTGTTGAACTACTGGATCTGCATTGAGAAAAGACAAGTTTATCATTCTACTATAGGTGCTCATGAATGAAAGTCTTCTTAAAGCTAAGGGTGAGAGTCCCTTAAGGCAACAGATAAGCCTTAGAGAAGAAAATATGTGTGGTCACAATGGCTGGAGGTACAAGAGGAGTGCAGTAGAGTTGGCTCCATTTTACTGTTTCTGAATTCTCCTTTGTACATGTCAGGTTGGTTCTGGGAGGAAGGTGAGAGGGGGGGTGTTATAGATCCTTTCTGCAGAAGCTTTGGGAAGACTGTCCAGCCCGAAGTCAGTCAGGACTGACGATGGGTAAATCTCTCAAATGCTGGTTTTTGTTCCCATATTTACTGTAAAGGAAAACCAGCACTCCAGGAATGACTTCTACAAAAACCACCAGTGCTTTTGCATCTGAATTCACTCAACAAACGTCCATGACACCCCTGCTTCACACACAGCTTTACAAAAATCTTGAGAAAAGTACAGTCTACCTTGGCAGATTGGGAGGAAGTCTCTAGAAGCTGGTGCCCAGTTAAACTGATGATCTCTAACTACATCTAACACTTAGTGCAAATAAAAATCATAACTCTCTCATGAAATCATTACCTCTTCTTTGTCACTAGCCCCTAGTCAATGTGTAACTTCTGGTTATAATATAATTCCTCCCCTCTGGGCCCTGAATCAAAATTATGAGGAGATGTAGAGAGAGGAGAGAGGTAAAGTACCCATGTGAGTAGGAATTTCTTCCAGTGAAATCCTTTGGTGATAACTCACCTTATAAAAATAATGAATAAGCACTATTTATTGAGGCCTTATGCTCAACGGGCCGGGCACTGTGCTGTGTCACATACATTTAGGCTCGCAGCCCTAGGAAACAGGTGCTGCAGTCACACCACATAAGGAGGGCACCAAGGCTTAGGAAAGTCACATGACTTACCCAAGATCATATTTCTAGAGTGAACACTTGAACTCAAGCCTGCTTGATATACGGTTTGTGTTCTTAACCACTACCCTGTGTTACACCTTAAGAAACTACTGAAGGGCCGGCCAAGTGGCACATTGGTTAAGAGCTGGCTTGGGATGCCAGAAGGCCCCGGTTCGGATCCCACATCTGAAGGCCAGTGACACTGCCCTCTACAGCTAAGATGCTGAACAACAGCTCAACCTGGAGCTGGGTTGCTGTGAGTCACTGACGATGGCGTAGGCTGTAGCCCCTGCTTCAGTGGGTTGCCATGGGCTACCGTGTGTAGCCAGCAGCCAGCGTGAGTGGCCTTCAAGCCGCTGTGAACAGCTGTCCAGAAGCCAGTGACTGATCTGCCTTGCCTGGGAAGAGCGCAATGATGGTGCCAACTTGGGCCAGTGAAGCAACATCCTCCACAACTGGACTGAAGAACAAAAAGACAACAACTTGTCTGTCCCCCTTCCCCCAATTCCCCAATAAAAATCTTAAAAAAAAAAAAAAGAAACTACTAGACTTCCAACTTCCTTGTGAAAATGAGAATCCATTTGATTCACTGTCGTGTGTGTGTTGTTGAGGTTTTTTTTCTTTCTTTCTTTATCCTCTTGACATAGCTAGGACACTGAAAGTACGTCCCTGATCCCACTTACTTTTGTTCCCTCCTCTGCTCCCCTCACTGCTACCCTGCAGGGTCTGATGAGTCGCTGCTGCTGTCCTTATCGTTTGGTTTCTAAAGCGGTTCACCCTGTGGAGTGGACATGGCTCTACAGGTTCGGGAAGGCCTGTGTGATAACAGCTAAGGCAGATGAAATGCAAATCCTCTGAGTGTCTGGCTCAGCCAACGGCCAAGTTAATACTGACTCACTTTAATTGAGGCCTCCCAGGGGAGCACCAGCTCGGGTCTCTAACATCCTGATATTCTGTAAGCCTCTTTTACTGTGAACTGCATGGGACACTCAGCAAGGCAGTGCGAATCCTCAGCTCTTCTAGAAATCATTTATGCTCTCCTATCAGGCCCCTCACGGGTTTTATAAGCCCTAGCAAGGGACATATCAGTGATCCCAGAATGCTGTGAGCGTCTGGCTGTGTGTGTATAGGGATGGAGCTGGGGTGCCCACCCAGGCTGGGCTGAGTGCTGGAGCTTGAGTCTGCTGCTCATTTCCTGAACACACAGAACCTGCTGGGTGGCGGCAGCTGCCCCCTCTGCCCTGAGCCAATGTAGTTCAGGCTTTGGGAGACCCCTAACGGGCAAAAGAATTAGCTAGGGCAGCTTCTCAAAAGCAGAAACTGGCAACTCGACAGGAACCATAAGCTTATTTCACGGAAGCTACCGAGCTGTCACCTAGTGGCCCTGGCCTCTGGAGCAGGAGAAGTCACAGGCTAAGTGCTGCACTGCAGGTCCTACGGCTCCCCAAACACCCCTGGGGAATACATTCCACCCTTCCTTGTCACCATAACTGCCTTCCTCTTTAAAATTCAATCAGTGCCTCTCTGGGGTGTGTGTGTGTGTGTGTGTGTGTGTGTGTGTGTGTGTGTGTGTGTGTGTGTTTCCCCTAAAAGTGGCAGACTGTGCCATTCTATACGTGTGCTATTTTAACCCTATTTCTTGTGTCTATCAAATAGGGAGCATATTTCATAGCTCTAGGCCTGGGAATAAACACCCCGTTTGGTACGCCAGGGACATGCTATTCATAGAGCAGCCCCACAGATGCTGCGATGCCTCTGGGAGGCTCTGCCTGGCTCCAGCTGTGAATGAGTGCCTGCCATTCCCAGCAGTTCAACTAGGTGCCACTGCACAGTCTAGAAGCAATGAGAAGAAACCACAAAAAGCACCCGTCTGCCCCCCAAGACTATGCTTTTGGTCCAGACTTCCTCATGTGCTTGGCTAATAGTTTCCTGCATTCTGACGGCCATACATTTTTTTTTTTAAGATTTTTATTGGGGAATTGGGGGATGGGAACAGCTCTGGGGAATTGGGGGAAGGGGAACAGACAAGTTGCTGTCCTTTTGTTCTTCAGTCTAGTTGTGGAGGACGTTGCTTCACTGGCCCAACTTGGCACCATCATTGCGCTCTTCCCGGGCGAGGCAGATCAATCGCTGGCTTCTGGACAGCCGCTCACTGCGGCTGCTGGCCGCTCACGCTGGCTGCTGGCTGCTGGCTACACACGGTAGCCCATGGCAACCCACTGCAGCAGGGGCTGCAGCCTAGCCATTGCCGGCGACTCACAGGAACCCAGCTCCAGGTTGAGCTGTTGTTCAGCATCTTAGCTGTGGAGGGCAGCGTCACTGGCCCTCATATGTGGGATCCGATCCGGGGCCCTCTGGCGTCCCAAGCCAGCTCTTAACCATCGCGCCACTCGGCCGGCCCGGCCATACACTTTTAACTGTTTTCCTCTGGTTATAAAAGTAGTCGATGTTCCTTATAGAAAATTTGGAACATGCAGAAGAGGATGAAGAAGCAATAAAAACCTCCCATAATCCAAAACTCAGAAAGATGACCATTGAGACTGTTCTGGAATTCAGGGGTGGGTTGCAAACTCAAGACCCCTGGGCTATTTTCATTTTGCAGTTGTACTTCGGCTCAGCATTCGAACTGCGAGTTCACGCCTTCAGGTGCAGCTTGTATGTGCTGGTTTACCCTGGGCCCTGCAACCCTGGTTTTATATTTTTCCTGCCATACCTGCCTATTCCCTGAAGGCATTTGGGTCTCTTATCTAGAAATATTGTTTTAGGAAACCAAATGCGGATATTGGGGCATATACACCTTAATGTTCTGCTTTCTTTCCCTAAAACTTTTATTGTGAGCATTATCTCCTGCCATTAATTATTCTTCAAGAGCATGATAGTAATCACAGTATAAGGGTACATTATAATTATATAAATGTATTATCATTTCTTTAACTCTTCTCATATCCTTGGGTATAAAGATGGTTTTTTTAGTTTTTGCTGCTACAAATTACACTGTGATGAATGTCCTTGCTTGTACATCTTGGACTACCTGTCTTATTTCCTTAGAATAGCTTCATAGGAATTGGAATTGCAAGGCCGAAAGGTACAAACTTTCTAAAGACTTTTGACACACGTTGCCAAATTCCAGTTTGTACGAAGTTGCTCTACAGGTAGGATATGAAAACATCGCTCATGACTGCGCCACTAGCAATGCACGCCAAGGGCTTGGCATAACATCTGATACAACAGTGCCCAGGAAATGTTCGTTATTAATTTCACTATCAGTATTTGGTAGGCCAAATTTATCTCATGTAATTTTATATGTATTACTTAGTGAGGTTGAAGTTTCCCCCCACCCCCCAGATGTTTATTAGCTACCTGCGTCTCTTCTGTGAAATTGTCTGCTCGGCCTCTTACCCATTTTTCTGGGAGGTATTATTCATGGCTTTCTCATTGATTTGTAAGCGCTTTCTACATATTGCCTCTTTGTTACATTTGCTTCAAATCTCTGATACAATTCAAACATCTGGCTCCTGCTCCAATTCACGCAAACCACTTTAGAATATGAGAAAAAGAACAAAAGAGAGACTAGTGTGGAAATAATTAGGGAAAGATAAGGAGCCCTGAGTATAATAGAAAATTGGGACAAATGCTCACTGAATCTCAGGATAATGGAAGGTGTCTTCTGGGTGCAGATGGAGGGTTGTATGAGCGTCATGAGTCCAGGAACATTTCATGCATGGGGAACCTCACCTTTCAAATAGCATTCAAGAGTTCATCGAGAGAAATTGGGACGTGGCAGGAGAGAAATAAGCAATAGTTCACTGCCCACTATAGCCAGGTGCTGGTCAGTATATTATTTCCTGTAGTTATTATAGCACTGCAATGAGGTAGGTTTCATTATCCTTATTTTAAGACAACGGGACTATAGCCCAGAGTGACTACTTGATACCCAAGGCTCCACCACTAGGAGGAAGAAGAGTTGGAATTAGAAGTGAGGTCTGCCCTTCCTGACAGGAGGCCTTATCAGCGGTTCTCAACCTTACACAGGGGTCGCCTAAGACCATCAGAAAACACATATTTTCGATGGTCTTAGGAACCGAGACACTGCTCCTCTATCTGTCTCCAGGCCCACATGCAGATATGCCCACATACGAGTACCCGGCGACCCCTGTGAAAGGGTCATTTGACCCCCAAAGGGGTCGCGACCCACAGGTTGAGAACCGCTGCCTTAGATCATTGGGGCCTGTCGATGTCTAGGTGCTACAGGTTCACATATGCTCTAACTGCCCCTACTTCCAAGCCATCCAAATGCTATCGTCTTCTATAAGTACATGTGTCCATTTACATATTTTAAAATAAAGGCTACTATCTTCTGTGGGTGGTGAGGAAGTGTGATAATCAGTGGCTCCCCCAGGGGGGAGAACAGGTCCATGGCAAGGTTGGCTGTCAAGTGTGGCTTTCCTTGAGTCCCACGAGGGCTCCTTAGGCCCTGCCCTTCTGTCTGCCACCATAGGAGAGGGCAACATGGTTAGAACAGCAGCACAGCTTAGGCCTTAGGGTGAATGCTCAGGACTGAAAGAGGAGGTGCCCACCCAAACCAGCATTTTGAAATGAAGCATATATTCATTTTGATGTTATTTCTTACACATTAAGATCTTGACGCCTTGGATCAGATGGGAGAAGATCTTTGCGGGATGTGAACAGTCTGCCACCCACAACATACCCACCCACCCCTCCTGGGAGGTAGGTGGGAACTGTGTGGCTGAGTGAGACATTCCCAGAGCTGCAGACTACTTCTCCACCCCCCACCCCTGCCCCAACTCCAACAATCATCACCCACCACCCAAATGCCCTCTCTGGAAGCCTCACGGCAGGCACCCACTCAAAACCATGCACAGTCACGCTTATGGAGTAATGACGGAGAAAAATAAAAAATAAACTCCCCCCGCCCTGCCTTTCCCCACCAACCTCCCTTGGAGAAGAAAACTAAATCCAGTGGTTTGCTTTTAAGACCTTGTAAGTGTTTCATTTTAAAGGGCACTCCCCTTCACATAAAAGCACAAGTGCCTAAAAACCCTATAGGATTCATCAGATAATAGCACAAGTCAGTTCTCCTCTCTGAGGACCAAGACGCATGAGCCACGCACGGGTCCTTACCTGCTCCCCTGAGGGTTGGCACCTTCGCGGGCAGCTGCGATTTCTGTCTGCGTCTGTCTTCAGACGTTCTTAGGCAATGCAATTCTGGGCTGATGGTTAGTCTCCCCAGGTTTGGCCTCCTCTTCCTTGATAAAATCTGTGGTGCCTGGGCTGCTGAAAGGTGCAAAATCTTTTCAATAAAATCAATTTTTTACAGAAAAACATTGTTCGTATAAAGAATGCTCGAAGGGCCTGCAATAGGGAAGGCAGTTAAGAGAATGGACCCAGGAGGTCAGAGAAGAGTTGGATTGGAAACCTAATTCCACGACCTTGCAGCCATGTGGGCTTGGGCAAGTCACTTCACTTCTCAGAGCCTCAGTTTCCCCACCTGTTACAGGGAAATAATAATACCTACTTTACAAGGCTGTGATAACCATTAATGAGCACCCATGACACCTGCAATGCAGAGTCAGTAGGGGTCTTTTGCTGTGAAGTTTCTAGCTTCCAATTCATTGATGTTGGGATGAGCCTGTTGGTAACACTGTCAAGAGCCTTCTACAGTTGGGATACACAAAGACCCTGCTCCTTACATGTCATCCAAGTTTGAGTCACGGCCTGTTTTGTTCCTGCATATTCATATCCTCGGGTTGTTTATTAGTTAACATGGTCCCCACGCACTGGGGGACCATATACCTTTTTCTTGCCTTTGAGCTACCCACCACTGTTCTGGGATGATCCACTCACAGGAAGAGGGTAGCTGGAGTGTTAACATGGGTTGAGTTGCCAATGAATATTTTTAATTCACATTTTAAATTAGGGCGCTGATTGGCCTGAATCATCTCAATTTCCTTCTTCATAGGCATTGAGCGTCAGTGTGCATGAGTTTCTGTATTTCCCATGCATCTCTACAAGTTCTTGAGTTCACAAGCAGTTAAAATTGTGAATAGCTGGACTACATCCTTCCAAGAGAATTTTCCTGGCTCTTCCCCTTTTGGACAGTTCAGAAATTTCACAAATAGCCGTCGCCAGCAGGCAACAGGGGTGAAGCTGGGAAGGGTCCCTGAGTTGTGTGCGAGAGAGAGCAGCTTTCTTGGCACGTGAAGACAACTGGATTTATGTTCCAGCGTGTAAGTTGTGGTTGCATGAATAGTTTTCATCCAGATTCAGGAAAGAATGAAGTTCTCCTTGGCAGCCCATGAAGTCTAGTTTAATACAATGATAGATACTACCTACTTTCCCTGACAGGCCCCGGGAGGGGAAGGCAGTGGGTCTGTGCCCCAGACTGAGAGGATCATGTTCCACAGGGAACTGACTACAAGGGGGAAGCTGCTGGTGGCGTCGGTGCCAGCGTAGGGCAAGCTAGTGGAGCCCAGAGAAGCTGTGGGCGTGGCCAGAAAGGAGAGGCGAGAGTTCTCCGGAAATTGAGAATATATTCTTTGGAGGGTGAAGGGTGGTTATTAGACACAATTTCACAGACCAAGAGGCTAGTGAGAGGAGGGGGGTGAGAGAGAGGGATCAGGGGCTTTACAGTAAGGGACCCAGCTGGGGGGGAGGGGTAATGGGGGAGGAGCTTTCTCAGCACCAAGGGTTGCCTTCCTCCAATCCAGCGGGTTATCCTTGAGGCCTCATCCTTCCCCAGCTCTCAGAAGTCAACAAATGCCTCCTGCCTCTCACATGACTGACAGGGGAAAAAGCAGCAGGATTCTTATTTACTGAGAGAGAAACCTGGGAAGGGGCTGACTTGGGGTTCAGGCCAAGTCCAGAGCATTTTTGGGACCCAGCCCAAAGGTCCTAGTCACAAGTATTTCACTTTGATTCCCAGCAGGAACCCCAATAGAATATTCAAGTTTCCTTCACACCCCAGGCAGCAGAAGAGTCACAATGCCCACAGCCTCCTACTCCCCAACTCCATCCACACCCCCTCACATCCTCAGGGGGAGTGATCCTCCCTCTCAGAGGGCCTGCCAAACAGCAGGTCCTTCAAGGTCTGTTTCCAACTTTACATCCACCAAGTCTGTTCTGACTGTGCCTCGGTCAGAACGCACAGGGCACTGATGGCCTTTAGCATTTAAACATTTGACAGTTGCCTAATATGTCTCTTTTCCCTTCAGCTGGAACGTGAGCTCCTTAAGGAGGTGGACCCTGTTTTAGCCTGTGTGTTGCTTTGCGCTCTCCTGCAGGACAAATGCTACTCACTGGTATAATCTACAGAGCTCGAGAAGGCATTCAGCTGAAACTAGGGGGGAAATTCCAAAAGTAGAACAGATTTTTTTTTCTTGTGCAAAATACCCAAGGTGGCTTAAGGTAACAAGTGATTTTGTTTTCTTATTCAAAAAAGTGCTTTCTTCAAAGCATCAGATCTCTTAAATGATTTTCATTACCATGTCTCCTCTAATCAAATTTTCAGCAAACTAAAGTAACAACTAGAAATTGTTTTACCAGGTCTGGCAGTGAAGACATCACCATTGATGGTGCAGGAAGGATGCTCTGACCTTCGGCAATTTGAACCTCAACATTGGCATCTGTAAAATGGGACCTTCCTATCTTGTTGAGCTAGGGTAAAGTTTAGCAATAATGTATGTAAATGGTCTAACTCAGTGTCTGGTACATATTAGCTGCTAAAAATGGTAGCCACTGCTTCTACCATAAATAGTGATAAGAATACTAATAATAATAATGGGAAATCTGAAGTCAGTCACATAAGAGAACTGAATTTGACCAGGGCCTTATTGTTATGCAGGCTTCATAGGCTGAGAATAACTTATTCAGCAACCTTCATTCCTGACTCCCTCAAACCTTTTACAAAATCCAAAAGGCAAATAGCAACTCTCTTTTTATTATAATTTGTTGGACAAATACTTGTGTGTCTTTGCTCTACAACAATTTGAGGGTTTGCAAAGATGACTAAGACATTTTGGTCATGACCTTAAAGATGATAATCTAATTTGGCTGTACTCTGTGTGAAACCCGCTTAGGTTCTATGGAAAGCTAATTCTTGTGAAATGTTCCTTCTTCTCCGTCTGTAATTACAGTCATTCATGAGGTAACTTAGACTGCATAGTTTTTATGTACCTGGACTCCAGTTCCCAGTCACCTCATGCACTCCCAAAAGTGAACCAAACTTCAGACATCTGGGTCCTTTCTAGGATGGTCCTCACCGTGGCATGGTACATATATTAATTTGCAGGAAGACCAAGGCACATTTCCAATGGAAGATGAAAGGTAACTCCCTCTTCAGGTAGTAGGACAGGCCTTTTGCCCCACAGAGAAAGAAGGGCACCGTGTTCAGGAGATTTGTCACCACGTAACTCAATAACCTGAAGGTTTTCTGTGAAGGTTTTTTGGGACGGCTGTGGGTTGCTTTGGACAACGTGAAACCCATAGTTTGCTGTTCTAGTATCTGAGTAAGGTGACGCCTCCAGTAGCAAAGAAACCAAACAGCTGTTTAGAGAAAAGCTGCCTTGCGTCAGTTCTCTTGACAATGCTGGGCACTGCAATTATTGTTCTGAATTTGACCAGGAAAGGAAATAAAGGCAGAAATCTCTGACTTATACAAGCCCCTTGACAAATGGGCATCAGGTCCATTTAACGGTTCACAGTAAGTCCATGCACCTGACAATGGTTCAGTTCCTCACATCACTTGCCATTCACAGGTACAGTTCTTGACAGATGAAAAGAATGGGAAGGCTGAAAATTCCTGAACCATTACCCCTCCCCCTCATTCCCTTTACTCGAATGCCTGGTGCCTAGGAGGTGCCAAGATTCTAAGAGATGCCTTTTAAAAATTTTTATTGCTTCCTTTAATTTAGATTGTCGGGAGAATTATAGCTCCATTGCCAGTGCTGATGTTTCCTTGGTGTAATAGGCAGCTTTCTGTACAGTCACAAATAATAGGCTGCGTCTATTTGCCTATTTGAGTGTGCTGGAAATGTGTGTTGTCTCACAGGCCCAGAGGAGATCTTAATTAAAGCTTAATTATGTACCATAAATATGTTTTATTTTGGAACCCAGGAGGTGGGATTTTTTTTTGATTTGGGGAAATGTAGTACCTAATAAGTAGGCAGAAAAGGGAATGTAAACAGCGACTGAGCCCTTTAATTTGTCCCTCCTCTGTGTGGTTCTGAATGGGTCTGCAGTTCCAGCCTGTACGTTCCCAGGGCCCTGGCCCAGCGTCCCTGTCTCAGGGCCGCCTCCCATGCACACACTCACACGACCCAGGGTATGATCAGACACTTAAGAGCCTGCTCGGTTTCTGGTGGTAATGTTCCAGAGCATGCCAGACATAGGAGTAAAGAAATCAAATGCGTCTCCAGAGATGACGGGATTTTATTGGTGCTAGAAGAGAGCTGAATGAAGTGGTGGCAGCTGTCTTGTCTTCCCGCTCCCCTGCACACCACACCTCCTGGTGTTGATTGATCATGGCATTGCCCTCTGGGCCCCTTCCCGTCCACCTGCCTTCTCTGGAAGCCTGGCGTTCTCCTCTCCCTGACTCTACTGTGCTGTGTGCCTTGCCGGGGGTGACTTACCACAGGAGGTAAACTTTACTGGGCCTTCTGGGGCCAGGCAGGCACAGCACAGGGGTCTCCCCCGGGGTGGGGCAGGAGACTGGGAAATAGCACAGGGCTGCTGGAGACTCGGGGCCAGGGCCCGGGGAGGAGGGGGCAGGTCTCATGAAGGAGGGCAAGGAAACCGGAGGAAGTTGTGGGGAAGAGTCTTGGGCCACTGGGGAGGCAGGCGGCACTAGTGGCAGGACCAGGCAGCAGTAATTGGTATTGGGCTGTGCGACAGGGGAGAAAGCAAAGACGGAGCAGTAAGGGGAATATTCAACACAGAACAGGGGGTGCTCGCTGCTTTCACCTGCACAAAAGAAAAAGAGCAGTCAAGAAGCAGCACTCACAGTGGGAAAGGACATAAAAAAGTCTGTGAATGAATCAAAACTCAAAAAGTGTTCTTCGCGGGGGTGGCGTCTCTGGGTGGCATGGGACAGGAAGCGCCTAGCTTGGATCCCAAGGTCAGGGAGGAGTTAACCTGGGAAACAGCATCAGCCACCATCACACCCTTTTCCAGCCAATGGCCGCTGGAGTCCCTGACAGATGTAGGAAAGTTCTTCCCTCACTAAGTTCCCGTGTGGAAGCTCGGTGCCTTCTCCGCTCCCACAGCCAGTTTAATTA